TTTTTTTTTGTAATCTATCATTGAAAGTTAAATAAATAGATGCCAACCTGAAGCATTGTTTGTCTAAATTTTAGACAAGTGTTTATTTGTGTTATTAACAATTCAGAATTTTCACGTTGTTCAAGGACAAAATCAATATGTTTAATTAATGGCATTGTTTTATTCATTTGTCTTTTATTAATCCAATAGTCATAAATTTTTTTTGATATATTTTCATTATAATCATATGGACATTCTTCATTTAAATAAGATGATGAAATAAATGTAAAAAGTTTTTTATAACATTCATTTATCCATTGTTCATTTTTTAATTGTTCACGACGATAAATAGTTAATGGAAGTATTGAAGACAATGATGATGAACATGATGAATCATCTTCGCTATCTTTATTTAATAATAATATTGATGATTCTTGTTCAGAACGTTTTCTAGCTTCATCGGAATGTTTTGAACAATAAGCATTAAATTGTGAACGTGTTGTAGTCGATTCTTTACAAGGTGTTTGTTGAATATCAAGAAAATAACCAGCAATAAGACCACAAGTAACCTTGAAATAAAAACAAGGATATGAGAATTCAATTATTTGAGCAATAAGAAACACTTTCATTGCATTCAATACTAATTTATAGATAAAAAAAAAAAAGTCAATTGTCATCATAAGGTTTCTCATAAGTTTAATGGTTTCATTGACGTATGGTAGTGATAGAATATTATTCTTTGCATATGATGTATCGTAATACATTATAGAAAAAATTCATCATGAAACCTTAATATTATTACTATTGAAAACTTATTAATGTCTTCATTGGAGTACAATCTTATAATAGATTTCATTTTAAATACATACATGAAATGGTGTTCGACAATTTTTATGTGCACATTGTACACAAGCACCTTCCGATGTTGAACATAAAACACAACGAAGAGACCAACGTGCATGTGGAATTTTATTTAAATTTAATATAGGTTCCTATTTAAATATTTAAATATGACATAAGTATATTAATCTTTATTCTACCTACCATATTAGCATAATCAACAAATTTAAGTTCAGGTAACCAAAGAACACATGTTAAATGACACCAAATTGTTCCGCTTGCTGTACTTTTCATTGGACCACCAAGTCTAAAATAAGATTTTTTTTTCTCAAAAATTTCTTTTCATTCAAAAGTATTTTACTTCGGACAAAGGATACATGCAGGTCGTCTTAAAATAGAACAAGGTTTGCAAAGCCATGTGCCACTTGGTACAACTGGTATACCATAACAATTTTGATGTACACAACAATGACATCGTTCACAAAAAACCATTTCATTACCATCATCACCATCAGGTAATAAACATATATCACAGACAGTATGTTCATCTTCACATGATTTTTGTTTAAGATAAGAACGAATTTTTTCAGCTGTTGAAAATTCTAAAATAATGATTGCATTTTCAAATTCTTCTTCACTTATTTGTCGTTTTTCTATAAAACAAAAAACAAACGATGTATGAAAAATATGAGAAGAAAAAAAAATGAAAATATTTATACGTTTGGTTTTATTATTATAATTAAGTTCACGAAGAAATTCAAGATCATCATCATCCAAATCATAATCAAGTTCATGCATAACTGTTTTCATAATTAATTGAGTTGGATCACTAGACACAAAAGAAAAACAAAAAAAGAGTTTATCAATTTTATATTTCCATGCGGAATTTTCTAGTTCGATGACTATCGAGGTTAAATAGTTGTCATGCGTACAAATGTGTTTTTTTTCAATAGGCTTTAAAGTATAATCCTCGAGCTACTCTCATTCGAAGGAGAACTCCTTACTGGTTCAGATGAGTGGAAACGTTTTTTTATTTAATTTGTGGAAGTTTTAAAATCGTAGGCAATGTTTCCTAGAAAATCCATGATTGCTTTTATATTGAGGGTCGAATACAAAATCTCTTTCCTTCATTCGAAAGACAATGCATCTGTCTATTGAATAAGAAAAAATGCGGTTCACTAGAA